AATATAGAGCATTAACACGTAGATAGAAATCATAGGAGTGAGGTAGTTTCTTTTGTGCAGATCCTTTTGTTTGGCAGCCAAAATATGAGTGATACCTTACAATGAGTGATCAGATTGCAAGTGCAGTTTTAGCCTTATATGATTGTAATATTTATTTGGTGTTAATAAAATCCCCTCTCTCTCATTTGCTAATGGATTTAGGTCAGATCAGACCAAACCACGTTAAATATCATGTTCATTTTTAGTTTGCATATCCATTAATTTATAAAGTGTGAGTTATACCAAGATTGTTAAATCGTTTTGTCCGAAGCGGTTAATTCTTTTTGTTGCATTCCTAACAAACTGGTATCAGAGCTATGGCTGAAGATGGAAAAATTAAGATCAACAAATTCGATGGTAAATATTTCGGCTTCTAGAGAATGCAAATCGAAGACTATCTCTACCAAAAGAAGTTACATGACCCTTTGGAAGAACATAAACCTGAAGTGATGCAACAAGAGGTTTGGAATCTGTTAGATCGGCAAACTCTTGGTGTAGTGAGGTTATCTTTGGCAAAGAATGTTACTTACAGTTTTGTTAATGAAAGAACAACATTTGGACCGCTCAAGGCGTTGTCTAACATGTATGAAAAACCTTCAGTAGCGAATAAGGTTTTCTTGATCCGACGCTTGGTAAATCTTAAGATGAAGGAGGGTAGCTCAGTGACAAACCATGCAAACGAATTCAACTCAAAAACATCAAGATTGATACCTTTTGGTATTGAGGATACGGACATGAAGTTGCTACTATTATCATCCTTACCTGGTAGTTGGTCTGGCATAGTGACGATAGTTAGCAGTCCAGCCCGGAGGTGTTAGGTTATCATTCAAAGTTATTCTATATTTAATCCTTGGCAAGGATGTGCGCAGATGAAGTGCTAGGGAAGCTTCCATTAGCATTCTAAGTACTAAAGACAGAGGAAGAAAGTATAACAGAGGAGGCGGTGGTAGAGGAAGATCAAAGTCAAGAAAGAGAGGTCAGTCGAATAACATGAAGGATATTACCTATTGGAACTGTAATGAGAAAGGTCATTTCAAAAATTAGTACCCAAAGCCTTCGGTAGATAAAGGCAGGAAGGAAGTAAACATGGTAGCATATTTTGAAGATGATGCACTCATTTGTTATGTTGAAAACTTAACGGAATCCTAGATCCTGGATTTTACTGCATCATTCCATGCTAATCATTCCAGAGAAGTAATGCAGAATTTCAGGAAGTAAAGTGGGAAGGTCAGGTTAGCAGACAACAAGAGCCTGGATATTACTGTTTTTAGGGATGTGGTCCTCAAGACAAGTTTAGGTATGAAGTTGACTTTGATGAATGTCAAGTTCATTCCATACTTGAAGAAGATGTTAATATTAGTGGGCAAATTGATGATGAAGGTCACCATGTTACATTTGGTGATCAACAATGGAATGTGAACAAAGGGAAACTTAGTTGTTGCCAAAGGTCAGAAGAGGGGTACACTATATATGGTGGAAGTTTCTGATGTTGAAGCACATGGTATTGAAGAAATTAGGGCATCCACTCTATGACACCAAAGACTTGGACATATGAGTGAGAAAGGAATGAAGATGCTAGTCTCCAAAGGAAGAATACCAGATCTGAGTAAGGATGTTAAAAAGTCCCGTGGGGGCCCCGACCCCTTTGGGGGAAATTTTAAAACAAAATCAGGGGTGGGGCGGGGTTAGGAGATCCCGTCCTGAAACCCCCATGGGGACCCCATTAATAAATTACACATATATTTACATATATCAATTATATAAATATATTAAACAATAACATGATTTTGAGCTTCCAAAATTCATCAAAAAAACATGCTTTTAAGTTGTTAGTATAATGTTTTTAAGATGCCATAACTTTTTTATTTTTAACATGTAATATTATGCTATAAATAATTATTTGTTACCTAAAGAATAGCTTCTTAACAATTTCTTTTAGCCAAACAAAAGGCAACCCAAAATCAATCGGGGGCGGGGGCGGGGTAATAAAGGGGATTTAGGGCGGGGGTGGGGACGAGGGAATGGAGAAATTTCGGGGGCGGGGGTGGGGGATATGCTCCTCGTCCCATTTTCCCCTGTTGACATCCATAGATCTGAAGACAGTGACAATTGACTTCTATGAGCTAAGTGTTCTTGGTAAACATAAGAAGGTTACTTTCAAAAAGATTGGTCATCCACCTGTCTCCGGGAAATTGGAATTAGTTTATTTAGAATGTTTATGTTCCCACTTTAGTTTCTTCAGTGGGAGGATCCCGGTTCTATGTCACGTTCATTGATGACAGCATAAGGAAAGTTTAGGTATATTTTTTGAAGCATAAGTCTGAAATTTTCATCACATTCAAGAAATGGAAATCTATTGTAGAAAATGAACCGAACTTGAAAATCAAGTGTTTCAAATCAAACAATGGGGGTGAATACAGTAGCAAAGAATTTTTTTGATGACTATGTTGTCCAAGGAATCAGAATGCAGAAGACGGTTCCAGAGACACCACAGTAGAATGGAGTAGCTAAGACGATGAACCGATCATTGAATGAGAGGGCTAAAAGCATGAGACTGCATGCA